CCCACACCTGCTGGGCCTCCCCCCACAATCCAGCAACTGCAGGGTCCGTATCTGGCCTGCAGGGGGCCTTCCGGCCCTTGCTCTAGCTCTGTGACTATTGTGGCTCCGTGCCTGCCCGTAAAAGTTAGGAACAGTGCCCTTGTGCCCGGCGCTGGGGCCAGGTTGGTGTCTCAGGCAAGATGGAGGAGAACTTGCTGCTTCTGGAACAAACAGCCCCAAGGTCTCCAGCCGACAAAGATTTGCTTCCCGTTCCTGCTGTGTGTCCTCCCTGGGTCGGCAGGGGGCTCTGTCCGTCAGTCACTTAGGCACCAGGCCTGAGGGAGCAGCCACGATCCGTAATACCACCAGAGGGAGAAAGAACTCAAAAGTGGCCCTCGCTGGCCATCAAATGCCCCGGCCCGAAAGTGACGGTTCACGGTGCTCACAGCTCATTAGAAAGAACTCCTCACGCGGGCCCCGGCCAGTCCCAGGGGCCAGGGAGAGTCATGTTCCCGTGCACTCAGGCAGGAGGGACCAGGAATCACTGGCAAAGAGACGGTGGCCACCGTGGCTGGGGTGAGGGACCAAAGGCCAGCAGCGGCAGCAGGTCACATCCGGGGGAGGGGAGGCTTGGTTGAAGGAGAAGTCTCCTCTAGCAGGGTTGCTCTGGGACGCCCCGGCCTCTCTGGGCCTTACTCCGGGCCGCGTCTCAGATGCACGGGCCACTGTGCTAATAATCCTCTAGCAGAGACTGCCCTGAGCCCACATGCATATGACCTACTGTGGCCTTCGATCCGGTGAGGTGGGTCCTATTGCCACCGTCCCGTTTCGCGGATGGGAATACCGAGGCCCGGGGCGGTAGACTGCACGGCTGGACCCTCTTGATGTCTGCTGTCCCCCACACAGCCACTTCGCGGCCCTGGCCCTGCCCAGGATCGAGGCCCACGTAGCCATTCCTCCTCCGGGACAGGCCCACAGGGAACTGGTGGCCCGTGAGAACCAGGGCTCTAGAGCCCGAGCAGGTGGGCAGTCAGGGCCTCTCTGTGCCCACGTTGCAGGCGGGGCCGACAAGCAGCAAATGGACGCTGAGCTGAGGAAGGAGATGATGGCCATCTGGCCCAACCTGTCCCAGAAGACGCTCGACCTGCTGGTCACCCCTCATAAGTGTAAGAACCGTGTGCCTCACCCGGCCCCGGGCTCTGACCCGCCAGGACAGAAGGGGCGGGAGAGAGGAGGAGGCAGGTGCAGGGACTAGGCTGGTGCCTCCGGGGCCCCCACCCACGGCGAGCTCGTCCTGTGCTGGGCCCCCCCCCCCCCCCCCAGCCACAGACCTGACCGTGGGGAAGATCTACGCGGCCATGATGATTATGGAATACTACCGGCAGAGCAAGGCCAAGAAGCTGCAGGCCCTGCGTGAGGAGCAGGTACGGCCCTGGGCCCCGGCGCCCTCCGCTCCGGTGCCCGTCGCCCTGCGGGCACCGCGGTGACAGGCCAGAACAGCGAGGGGTAGCCAGGACCCAGAGCAGGTCGCTGGAAAGCAGGGCCGTGCCAAGGAGGTGGCCCGGACGAATTCATCTGCTCCGCCTTGGGGGCCTTGGGCACCCTGGGGGCAGTCTGACTTTTGCTCTGGGTCAGACGGGAGCCACCCTGCTCCTCGTTAGACGTGGGAAGCGACCTCACTCAGGTGGCCGCCCTCTGGTGGCCGTAGCTGGTAAGGGCTGGGGCCGGGAGACCCGGGAGGAGGCGAATCTCCAGGTCCAGGTGGGAGATGAGGGGGCCAGACCGGGTTGAGAAGTGGTCCCGTTCCGCATGGATTTGCAGGGAGGGAATTGCTTTGGGCATCTGGCGGGGGGTGGGGGGAAGGTGGCACACTCTCGGCACAGCGCCCCTGCTGTCTCTCAGCTGCAGCCGTGGCCAGAGCCTGAGCCTTGAACACCGTCCCCAGCCTCCGCCCTGTGCACACACGTTGCTCTCTGTCCCCCCAGAATCGGACACCACTCATGTTCCAGCGCATGGAGCCCCCGTCCCCAACCCAGGAGGGGGGCCCTGGCCAAAACGCCCTCCCGTCCTCCCAGCTGGACCCAGGAGGAGGCCTGTGAGTGTGGCTCTGGCCAGAAGGTGGGGATGGGAGGGCAGGGGGCGCCATCCCCCAGGGCAGCCGCCCCTGGAGTGCCCACTACCACCCGGGCCTCTGTCCCCCCCGCACAGGTTGGCTCACGAAAGCGGCATGAAGGAGAGCCCGTCCTGGGTGACCCAGCGGGCCCAGGAGATGTTCCAGAAGACCGGAACGTGGAGCCCAGAGCGGGGGCCTCCCACCGACATGCCCAACAGCCAGCCCAACTCCCAGGTGCCTCTGTCCCCCCCACCCCACCCCCCACCGCCCCACAGCTCCCGGGCGCGAGCAGTACAGGAGGGAAGGGTCTGGGGTCCGAGCGTCAGGTGCCGGACTCACCGGCCTCGCCCTGTGCCCCATAGTCTGTGGAGATGCGAGAGATGGGCAGAGACGGCTACTCAGACAGCGAGCACTACGTCCCCATGGAAGGCCAGGCGCGGGCGGCCTCCATGCCCCGCCTCCCCGCGGAGAACCAGGTGAGCGCTTTCACCCCCCCCCCCCCCAGGGCTGGACTCAGGGCCCCCAGGGTCCCTGCCGGCCAGCAGTGGGGATGCCGTGGCCCCCTCCCTCCCCGCACGGCCCAAGGGGTCTCTTTCCTCCCGGACCCCGGCTCAAGGGGGCCACCCACACCCTCAGCCGCAGGGTGAGGGCCCTGCCACCCTCTGTGGCCACCCCCGGAGGCCCTCAGCTCCTCCCTGATGGAGGACACATGGGGGCGCGGGAGGGGTGGGGGAGGTGACGCGTCAGGGCCAGGTGAGACCGGCGATCGGGAACGCGCACCCGGGCACGCGCACGCACAGACGCACACTACGTGTCCGTTTGTGCTCTTACTGGCACCTACGGACGCACACGCGTGTGCACGTGGGTCTGCTCTTGGGAACTTGGCAGGTCCTAGGACCTGGTAGCAGAGTCTGGCGGGGGGGGGGGGTGGCCTGGGGACAGCTGGGGTTTGTATTTCCTGTCTGGTCTTTGTGGGGGCCAGTGGGGAGGGACAGGGACGTATGCCTGATGCGTGTCTGTGTGTGGCCGCTTCACCCAGCT